TAGTACTGCTCATGAAGTGCTACGGGGTCGCAGAGAGTCACTAGTTGTGTTTTGAAGATATTTCAAAGGCTTTGTTGTGTTGTGTAAGTGGTTTGGCTTTGTAGTGGATGGAACTTACTATGAGAGGATGACTAACCAATCATCATTATAGTTGACTCTACAACAACATTTTACATTGCCATGTACTCTCTAAATCCAATCACATTGAGGGGCCTAGATATCTATGCCTTTGTAAAGAGAGGGCAAATCCCTTCTTGACATGTGGTTGTCTCTATTAACATCTTGAATAATCCAAGCTATATCTTTAACTTAACATGGTCTGTTGTTTTGTAGATATTGTTTGGATGAGATAAACTTCGATTCGGCAGTGGAGTGGTCATGTAGTGATTGTATCCCAAAACAGAGTGAAGCCATTAAGTCGCCAGGAGACGCAAATTGTCAAAGGCAACCAAGGAACACCCAGTTGGATTTCTCTGTAGTCAATGAACCAAATGTCGAGCAAGAGAAGGTAACGAAGGCACGCGGACTTCGTAGAAATAGACCATGCCGAGAAAGAGAAGCTAGTTTTGATGAAAGTATTGAACATGTCCCGGGTGGAGACACATCGAGTCGGGGACGATGTGTTGAAGAGACATTAGATTCTTGTGAAATCTCTGTCCGGGATATACCCAACCTCATTGATTGTAAGAAGGAAGGGGAGGATATAAATGGGCACTTAATTTGCACACCGGAGAGTTTTGATGGTTCAAGTAATTTGGCTTTGGATCATGCTTCAAGTATTGAACCCAACAATTTGCAAAAGGAAATTGGTGGTTCTAAACTTGCTTCAGATTCTATGGACTGTCCTGATCTCCCAAATGCAAGGAGTGGCTGCTTTGCTTCATCGAAGTATGTTGAGGGTTTTGTTCCACCAGGAAGAAAGGGTGATATTTTTTCTCTAATGAGTGAGGTCGAGGGATCCCGCCCAATGATTGTGGACAAGTCTTGTTCTACATCGGTAAGCATGGAGCAAGCAGATGGTTTATTGGTAAACATAGAGAAATCTGAACCTTTGAAGTTGGTTAAAGGATCGGAGGAGACTGTTGTAGCATCAAAGTTTGCACCAAATCATTCAAAGCCGATGCTAGGATCAGATCTGGAGACAAGGAGTGTGGATGTCTTGAATCCTCTAGAGCAGCGTTTGGACTCTTGGGCAATGCCACTGATGCAATCAAGTCCCTCAAATGAACTAGAAGATGCGGCTATTCAGGAAAACAGTGCTGAAAGAACAAGGTGCTTGGTGGACATGGAAACCGTTGCCTCTGAATTGGAGAACCACAAAGGATCAAATCCCAAAATGGCAAATGAAAGCTTGAGTTGTGGTGAAGGTAACTCAGATGAAGCAAATAGAAGATCAGATGAGCTTTTATCAAGCACCAAAAACAATAAGATGCGAAGGCGAATATGTGTTGCTAGAAAGATAGTTAACTCTTGCAAGGTAAATGGAATTACAGATCCTGAGCCAGCACATGGTAACCGAGATGCAATAAACCTCCAATGTAATGCAGGAAAGACATCTTCTCTTGCCGTAAAAAAGGTGCCTCTTCAGCTGATATTGCATGAGGAAGGCATTAGCAATGAGTTGTTGCAAGAGGAAGGCATTAGCAATGAGTTGTTGCAAGAGGAAGGCATTAGCAATGAGTTATTGCAAGAGGAAGGCATTAGCAATGAGTTGTTGCAAGAGGAAGGCATTAACAATGACTTATTGCCTTCCAAGTTTGTTGGTCCATGTGAGTCAACAAAAATCAACCCTAGAAAGCGTAAGCAATCAGAAAATTACGCTCCTGATGGAACAAAATATCAGAAAGCCTGTATTATAAGTGGGAATGAAAATGCCAATGTTGCACGGTCAAAAAGTGGTAGACCAGTACGAACTTGCCAGAACACACCCAGGAAAGACAATGGTAGCAATGATAAAGTTATTGGGCACTCAAAGATGGGAAAAGATAAGAAAATTGTTAAGTCATGGCTGGCTAACAATGGCATCCGATATTCACGGAAGACAGGTGTCTTGCAGCCCTACTCTCTTCGTAGACGTTCTGTGGACAGATCAAGACCTTCACGGAAGAGAGGTATGGTTACCAGTGTCTTGCAGCCCTACTCTCTGCGTAGACGTTCTGTGGACAGATCAAGACCTTCACAGGAGAGCGGTGTTGTTACCAGTGTCTTGCAGCCCTACTCTCTGCGTAGACGTTCTGTGGACAGATCAAGACCTTCACAGGAGAGAGGTATGGTTACCAGTGTCTTGCAGCCCTACTCTCTGCGCAGACGTTCTGTGGACAGATCAAGACCTTTAGAAAACATGGATCTGGCGCTGATGGAAAGCAGCTGCGCATTGAATAATCCAAGCAGCAGTTGTGCAGCGCAAGCATCAGGTTTCTCTTCAAAATCGAAAGAATTACGCGAGAGTGATGAGCCAAAGAAACGAAGAAAACTCATTTTAACTTATGACGAAGAGGAAGATGCTGAGGCCTTACAGGCAGAAGATCTGAATTCCCGGTCTTGTGATGATAATGAACATGTGAAGAAGCAAAGAAAATGCGTGGAAAATGCTGCGGAGAACCAGAGAAGATCTGTAGAACAAGGTAAAGAAGCTTTGGGGTCAGGAAATTTGAATCGATGTTCGAAGAATCATAAGCAGGTGAAGAAGCAACGAAGCGTAGAGGCAGAGGAAGATGAAAATGCATCTGTAAGAAATCCGAATGCTGGATGTTCAAGGATGCCAGTCATTTCAGAATGTATTGGCGGGCAACCCCTTGATATACCTTGTTGGACGTATGTTACATGCCCTTTATTCCATTACTTGCATACTTCTTTTTCTTCTGTCAAGTGCTAATATGGTCTCTTTATGTTGATAGTGGAATCATGAAGATCAACAATAACTATATTCCATTGGCTGCACACCTGTCAACCAAAGCAGGCAAGAAGGTGCAGGAACTGTCAAGATCATTGCCACCAATAATGAAAGCGGCCAAGCTTTCTACATCGGAATCATGTCCAAAGCACTTTGAGGCACCGGTACCTACAGCTGACAGCATTGGCTTGTATTTCTTTTCGGGTGATATGAGGTTTGTTGAGCCTGTGCATGTTGTTTGTCTTATTTCTTCTACACATACTAGGGTCTGACATTCTTTGATCCTCTAGGCCAAATAAAGAGCTGGATGAGCTGGTGAAGCATCTTGCTGATAGTGGAATTGTTCTAGAAGCTGTTGTTGGTTTGAGGAAGCTGTTTCTCTTCCCTTCTGGTGTACTACCAGTGGAACATCAGAGTAAGTCATATGGCAGATTTCATTATTCAAAATTATGAGTATCCTGAAAATATACCATATTACACCTAATCTGCCTATGCTACCACTAATGTAGTAAACTGCATTTGGTATAGTAATGTGTAATGCAGTTGTGCATGATTTTTCATACTGCCTACTTGAACATTGTTTTGTTTGTCATGGTGGAGCATGCATGGTTTATACAAGGCCTTTTTGCTCCATGTCAATTTTTCTTTTGTAGTAATTTGTCAGCCAGTCATTAGTTTCTGTCTTGTTGCAGCATTCCAAGGGAAACCCTATCTATGGGGAATGTTCAAGCCCAGAAAAGATAAGATCAGAAGATTTCCAGTGGAACAAGATTGTACTGCACATGTTTCAAAGGAAGAACATGCGCAAGAACAGCATGCCTTGGACCAGCAAGACAAGGCACAAAGTGACACCCTGGACCAGGTCGTGCATCCCGAGAATCAACCCTTACTGGATGCAAACCAACTAGGAAAGGAAGCGCTGTCTGGCAATTGCCTGCCCCCTGTTGACGTGCAAGCTCTAGTCTCTGCAAATATCGGCCCAGCTGATCATGGACAGCCCTGCTCAAATCCAGAAGCTCAGCCACTTAAACTCTGTGGTTTTGTTGTCTCACGGACACCAAGGTCCGCGCAACTCATCCAGGAGATGCAGAAGGAAGGTGCATTACTGTTTGCTGTGCAGCAGGTGATGACAGAACCTGGGTCAGTGATATAGGATCAGAATATGTGCGTGGCAACCATGCTGTGGTTTCAGAGCATACTTGTGGTTTCAGAGGACCATACCTGTAGCTGTTGTCTCTTAAGGCGTGGCGCGCTGCAGTGGTCACTCTTAGGGCAGAAACATGCTAGCAGTAGACCTGAGAGCTCTTTAGCTTCAGTGCCGGCTCATTGTGCCTCGCATCTTCTATGTCCGCCTATGTGCTTGTCTGCTAGCTAGTTCCTGTCATGTTCAGGACTGGACTGTGGTGTTCGCTCTTTGTATGTTGTATTAAGAGCCGACTTAGCTGAGCTTACTTTCTGTTGTGCAAGTTGTACAAGTTTGAGCCAATTTTGCCGATTGTACTGTAAAAGCATCTCCTCTGTTTATATAATGGCATGCAAATTATCATCAGTTCATCTTGTCATTATCATGGAGCTATTATCCTGTGCTCCTTGTGATTCTTGCCATGTCGAACTGTTGAGTAACCTTCGTGAAGTAACCACATGAACTTCACATGATCAGTTGAAAATTCACAATGACAATTGCAGTTCCATTTTATTTTAAGTTGTTGGGACATGGGCTTTAAGCTAAGCTGATGCATCAACCAGCAAGATCAACCACATGAAGATTACTCCTACGTGCCAATGTGGGTTAACCTGGGTAAGACGATCACCATGGTGAAGGAAATAGTAAGTTTCAGGGAACCTGGGTGAAGCCTAAAGATAATAAATTCTGACATGATGCACTTTTTCTTCTTCTTGTTTTCCACTGTATCCATCACATACACAAAAGAAAGATATCCACGGTATGAACATGGTGGAGGCAAGGTAAAAAAGAAAGAAACATGGATAGAACTGATCAGTTGACAAAACACATGATCAAAACTGTGTAATCATCATTCGATTATGTATGTTTGGTATAATGTACAAAAGATGTGTGGAGTAACAAGGCTTGAGGGTTGAGAAGCATCTAGGAGCTAAGGATGTTCAGGAGTGAAACCCTGCTCGGAATCAACCTCCTGAACAGGGACTCAACACCGTTCTCGAGATCCGCTACACTGCGCTCCAGCGCTTGCAGCTGCGCCGCCTCGCAGACAACCCTCTTCTTCTGGAACTTCTGTGAGACCAGAGACCATCTGCTTCCATTGGCAACCCCAATTTGCTTCAGCAGGAGGCGCGGCGCGGATTCAAGCAGAGAGACCGCCATGTCTCTTGCTTCTGCCAATAGCCTGACCGCCCCGCAGCCTTCGGCGGTAGCCTTGCCGCTTGTGATCTTCTTGAAAGGCTTCTGCGCCTTCTTCGCCAGGCGAACAAAAGACTCGATCTTGAGCTGAACAGCCACGCCATCTCCCCTCTTGAGGGCGAGCCGCAAGTCCTGGATGCTCATCTTCAGCTCTGCCAGGCTCTCCTGCATGGCATTGCAAAGATCCACCAGGACAAGTGATCTGTCAAGCTCTTCCTCGACCATCTTCCTCTGCAGGGGCAGGGAGAGGCCGATTTGGTTGCTGGGCAGGCTCATGATCTCTTCTATGGAGCTGTAGATGTCTCCGAGCCTGCTCAGACCGCCGCACATCGTGTCGATGGTCGCGGAAGGCATGGATATGCGTGTCTGCAGGCCCTGCAGCTCCACCTCCACTTTGGATTCGGTGGAGTGGGGGATGGAAGGCAGACTCGCAGATCTTTGATGGCAGGCCATGTTTCTAATGGATGAACTCAACTGATGATCTGCTATTTCTGATTGTAATGATGGAAGAGAAAGTGAAGAGCAGATGTGTTTTGTCGGTGCTCAACCCTTTGTACCCCGCTCTATTTATAGTCGAGAGCCACAAGGAATTGATAATGGAGCAAGTTCTCCGCTGCGGCTTAATCATCCGCGCGAAACTGGAGCTCTCTTATTTTGGTTAGTGCAACTGACATCAATGAGTGAGATCGAGTGCGTGTACATGTCTCGCCTATAGATGTCAAAGTATTCGCACGAGTGGTTCGTCTCATCATCCAGATTGGCAAAATACCTTCTGGCAATTTGGTTGTCAACGTGTGATGGTTGCACCCGCACCTCAACCCTCGTGCAGCAGCACTGTTGTCTTCTTGGCATGTCTGCTAATTGCATCATGGTCCACCACACATGCGCTATAATTCTTAATAGACGCTTCAAATCTTTAGTTGATGGCTAAACTAATAGTCTCGAATCAAACTAGAGTAACATTTCTTATGAGAGCTATTTCATAAATGTCATATTTTACTACTCCCTCCGATCCATATCAATTGTTGCTGATTTAGTACAACTTAATACTAAATTAACGACAATTAATATGGATCGAAAAGAGTATTGGAAAACATAATAGGGGCACGAGCTCTGAGCTCATAGTGTACTAAATCAGCGACAATTAATATGGATCGAAGGGAGTACTGGAAAACATAACAGGAGCACGAGCTCATCGGATCTTGGGAACTATAGAAGGCCATGAATCTAGGTGCAGTAATGTAGAAAGTAATAACATGGGATCTTGACATGGACTCTGACTGCATCCTATTTTCTCTGAGAAGAGAATATATAACAAGTTTGATTGGATAAATTAGCGCTCTATCGCTGAGCTCCAACAACTGTTACAACCCCATGAGTAGTACTTCATAATAATATGATAATGAGATACATGTATGTATGTAATTAGTATTGCCTATTTGTCATGTTTTGGTTATTCAAGAAAAAGAAATAGAATGCACGAGGGAGCAAGATTCATGGAAGCATAGGATGCATCAGATTACATCCCATATGGCTAGTGCACCTAATATGCTAAGAGCTTTATTGAAAAAAGAAGTTGTTAAGAGAGGGGGAAGAGCTGACTTTACCTACAGAAACACGCTCAGTCATGATACTGTCCAGGCAACATCTAGATGAGCACGAACTCAACACCTCGTGGAGCATTGCTGTCTTGTTTCATAAATCTGCAACAAGATCCGCCGCACAACAGAAAGATCAGCATTATTCTTGACCAGCCCAAGCAGAAACTCGCTAAAAGAGCCGTGAGAGAACTTCACGTGCAATAGAATATGAGCTGAGATACAGAGATAGTGCTTATTTTTGCCTCTCTTAGATGATCTAAATAAACATAATGCATATATACAATAGATTCTGAAAATTGAGCCTTTTTTTTGTTTCCTACTGTATCCATCATATACACAAAAGAAAGATAATCCACAGAATGGACATGGTTGAAGCATCGTAAACAAGAAAGAAACATGGATAGAAGTGATCAGTTGACAAAATACATGATCAAAACTATGTAATCATCATTCCATTGTATGTATGTTTGGTATAATGTACAAAGATGGGTAGAGTAACAAGGCTTGAGAGTTGAGAAGCATCTAGGAGCTAAGGATGTTCAGGAGTGAAACCCTGCTCTGGATCAACCTCCTGAACAGGGACTCAACGCCGTTCTCAAGGTCGGCCACGCTGTGCTCCAGCACTTGCAGCTGCGCCGCCTCGCAGACAACCCTCTTCTTCTGGAACCTCTGTGAGACCAGAGACCATCTGCTTCCATTGGCGACCCCAATTTGCTTCAGCAGGAGGCGCGACGTGGGTTCAAGCAGACAGACCGCCATGTCTCTTGCTTCTACCAGTAGCCTCACCGTCCTGCAGCCTTCGACGGTAGCTTTGCCGCTTGCGATCTTCTTGAAAGGCTTCTGCGCTTTCTTCGCGAGGCGAATGAAGGACTCGATCTTGATCTGGACAGCCGCGCCATCTCCTCTCTTGAGGGCGAGCTGCAGGTCCTGGATGCTTGCCTTCAGCTCTGGCAGGCTCTCCTGCATGGCATTGCAGAGATCCACCAGGACAAGTGACCTGTCGAGCTCTTCCTCGACCATCTTCCTTTGCAAGGGGACTTGGTTGCTGGGCAGGCTCATGATCTCTTCTATGGAGCTGTAGATGTCTCCGAGACTCCTCAAATCGCCGCACATCGTGTCGATGGTCGCGGAAGGCGAGGATATGCGTGTCGGCAGGCTCTGCAGCTCCAGCTCCACTTTTGATTCAGTGGAGTGAGGGATAGAAGGCAGACTCGCAGATCTTTGATGGCAGGCCATGTTTCTAATGGATGAACTCAACTGATGATGTACTATTTCTGTTTGTGGTGACGGAAGAGAGAATGAAAGGCAGATGCGCTTAATTTGTTGGTGTTGAGAACTTTGCAGCGCGCTCTATTTACAGTCGAGAACCAAAAGGAAATAATGGAGCAAGTCCTCTGTTGCGGCCTAATCATCGGCCGCCTAGGCAAAACGGCTGCTCTCTTATTTTGGTTAGTGCAACTGACATCAATGAGCGAGATGGAGAGCGTGTGCATGTCTCGTCTATAGATGGCAAAGTATCCGCACGAGTGGTTCGTCTCATAATAAAGATTGGCAAAATACCTTCTGGCAATCTGGCAATTTGGTTGTCAACGTGTGATGGTTACACCCGCACCTCAACCCTCGTGCAGAACTGTTGCCTTCTTGGCATGTCTCTGCTAATTGCATCATGGTCCACCACACATGCGCTAGAATTCTTAACAGACGCTTCAAATCTTTAGCTCATGGCTAAACTCGAATCAAACTAGAATAGCTATGCAAGCTAATATTTCATAAATGCCATAGTACCTCGATATTAGAAAACATAACAGGGGCATCAGCTCAGCAGATCTTAACATGGGAGCTATAGAAGGCCATGAATTTAGCTGCGGTAATGTAGAAAGTACTCCCTTTACAGAGGGAGTAAGAAAGCAAATATTCTGTCTTAACACACACAGTGACACTGACTGCGCCCATTTTCACTGAGAAGAGAATATATAAAACAAGTTTCACAGGATAAATTACCGGTCTATCACTTACTGCAAGTTGCTGGTTTAACCTAACAGCCGAAATGATAACAAACAACTGATAGAACGCGCAATCTTCACGAGTACTTCATAATATAGGATAATGAGATACATGCACGTATGTATTTAATTAGTATTGCCTATCTGTCATGTTTCGGTTATTCGAGAAAAAGAAATAGAATGCACGGGTGTACAAGTTCGACTTGGCCGTAGCACGAGGGAGAAAGATTCATGAAAGCATAGGATACATACATCAGATTGCATCTCATATGACTAGTGCACCTAATATGCTAAGAGTTGTAATTCAAAAAACAAGTTGTTAAGAGAGAGGGAAGAGCTGACTTTACCTACAGAAACACTCTCGGACATGATACGTTCCAGGTAACATCTAGATGAGCATGAACTCAGCACCTCGTGGAGCATCGCTGTCTTGTTTCATCAACCTGCAACAGGATCCGCCGCAGAACAGAAAGATCAGCATTATTCTTGACTAGCCGAAACAAAAACTCGCTTAAAGAGGTGTGCGATAACTTCACGTGCAATAGAATATGAGCTGAGATAGTGGTTATTATTGCTTCTGTTCAGAGGATCTAAATAATTGGTGGCATATGCTTAAGTCTGGTACATCCGTGGGAATAACAGGGCGCGCCAGCCATCAGGCTAATGATGAGCGGCTACCACATGGCTTAGAGCTGGCATGTCCATGGTTGTTAAGAGTACTGCAGGTAAAAGATGGTGGCGCCAGTTGTAAACTGTAATTGCTGTGACCTAACATGGCCGTTTCAAAGATAAGATCGAATAAAATTGTACATGTGTACAACTTACAGTCACAGCTAGAAATTACTACACATACAGCTAACACCGAAATTCTGAATAATTTAATCTTCACTTAGACTCAGCTATGAAAAGAAATCAGAATCACTGCCCAGTAAATATCAATGTGAGCGAAATCAGAAGTGATGGTATGAACATAGTCAAAACTGTTTTCATCAACTGATCATTTGCATGTACATTTGGCACTGTGCTCTGTACACAAGCTAGAAAGGTTCTATATGACTGGTGAATCCTTTAAAAGGCGGATGCCAATCGCAATATGCTAGAGAAACAAGGCCTGGGAGTGTCTACGAGCTGAGAATGTTCAGGAGTAAAACCCTGCTTTGGATCAGTCTCCTGAACAGAAGCTCCGCACCGTTCTCAAGATCTCCCATGCTTCGCTCTAGCACCTGCAACTGTTCCTCCTCGCAAACGACCTTTCTTTTCTGGATAAGAGACCATTTGCTTCCTTTGGTAGTGGCGAACTGCTTCGGCAACAGCTGCGATGTGGACTCGAGTAGAGAGACAGACATCTCTCTGGCTTCCGCCAGTAGCCTGATCAGCCTGCAATCCTCACCACTAGCTTTGCTGCTTGTGATCTTCTTGAAAGGCTTCTGAGCCTGCTTCGCCAGGCGAATGAAGGACTCAACCTTGAGTTGAACAGCCGCATCATCTCCTCTTTTGAGAACCAGTTGCAGCTCCTGGGTACTCATCTTCAGCTCTGCTAAATTCTCTTGCATGGAATTGCAAAGATCAATCAGCACGAGGGATCGCTCCAGTTCCTCTTCCACCATTTTCTTGTTTTGGGGGAAGGAGAGGCCAACTTGGTTGCTGGGCAAGCCCATGATCTCCTCTATGCAGTTGTAGATGTCTCCAAGCCTTGCATAACCACCACACATTGTGTCGATGGTTGCGGAGGGTGAAGAGATGCATGACTCCAGGCCCTGCAGCTCCACCTCCACTTTGGATTCACTGGAGTGGGCGATAGAAGGCAAACTTGCAGATCTTTGATGGCAAGCCATGTTTCTAATGGATGAGCTGATGATGTGTTTCTGTTTGTAGTGCAAGAGAAAGTGAAGGGCAGGTGTGCTTTCTTGGTGCTCGACCATTGTGGTGGACTCTATTTATAGTCAAGAAACAAAAGCAGTCTTGCTGGCAAAGCCAGTTAGGCAGCAAGAGTATTGTGCATAACCATCTCTGTCCAATACAATCTTGTTAGGAGACAAGAATCACTAAGTGCATGCCATGTCTTAACAATTGGCAGCAAAGCATCAGCACAATGCTTAAGGCAGAATCCAGATCACCAAACAGAGACAAAATAAACTAGAATGCAAGTCATGCGGCTGAGGTGTATGTTGAAGGACTAGAAGACTTCACCTTCCAACAGCCTGTCAATTTGGTTCCGATAGTTGCACCTTCGCCCCAATTGCCGTGAAGCACTGTTGCTGTGCTGGTATGTCTCTGCTACCTGCGGCATGATCCACCACACATGCATTATAATCATCAATAGATGCTTCACTTCTTCTCATGCAACATTTACTCGTTTAGAACATAAGCGAAAACTAACTCATAAACGTCACTGGAACGGGTTCTAGCTTGCAAAATTCTAGATATTCTGCTTCTGTAAGAAATATGTTGTGTTATCCTTCAGTAGCAGAAGTAGAGGTGCACAATTTGGCCAATTGCATGAGAAATTTGAGAATAAGGCACAACGGATTGATATACAGACAGAAAGTATCTCTATCTTGCAGATCCCATGTACTCACATGGCCACCACAGCCTCAGCCAAGTTGGTACCTTTGTCTATCTTAGTTTAAAACAGCACGCGTTGCTAAATTACTAAACAGTGCAGCCTTGACATATTCCAAACGTAGGCAAACTACTACAGGAAGACAAATCGCTATTTTTGTATTTCCAATCTGTCATGTTTCAATTATGTCCGGCAAAATGGACTGCACGAGTACCCAGAGTTGTTTTCTGCTATAAGGTGGTGGGCAAGAATCGCAGTTCATGAGAGGAAAAGTTGAGACACAGAACCTCCAAAAACGTGTTCAATGCTAATATGGGCCAGTCAGCTTCAAGATAAGCATGAACCTCACGGAGTACGACTGACAAGTTTTATCCACCTACAGTAAGATCCAATTATTGTTTCAAGAGTACTTCATAATATAGATAAGGAAATAAATGCATCCAACTAGTGTTCCCTATGTGTCATTTTTCAGCTGTTCGAGAGAGAAAAAACGGAATGCACGGTCGATAATCTGGGTGCGGTAATAGAGAAAGTTAACTCTTTTTTCTGTCTTGGACACAAAGTGACAATGTGTCCTAATTTCACCGAGAAGAGAATATAGAACAACTTCGATTGAATAAATTACCGGTCTATCTCGCTTAATACTGCAGATTTCTGTTTTAACCTACTAACAGCCCAGATGACAACAAACAACTGTTAGAATGTGCAGTCTTCACGAGAACTGGATGAGGAGATAAATTAATATATCTAATTAGTGTTTCCTAACTGTCACGTTGCAGTTGACCCTGAGAGAAAAATGGAATGCACGGGGGTTCATGTTTGATTTGGCCATAGCACCAGTGAGAAAGATTAATGAAAGCATAGGATACATCCGATTACATCTCATATGGCTAGTGCACCTAATGTTTTCCCTAGGACACAGTGTCTATAAGTTGTTAAGAGAGAGGAAAGGAGTTGACTTAACCTACAGAAGCACACTCAGTCCAGGTAACATCTAGATAAGCATGAACTCAACACCTCGTGGAGCATCGCTGTCTTGTTTCATCAACCTGCAACAAGATCCGCCGCAGAACAGAAGGATCAGCATTATTCTTGACCAGCCGAAAAAGAAACTCGCTTAAAGAGGTGTGAGATAACTTCACGTGCAATAGAATATCAGCTGAGCTAGTGGTTAGTATTGCCTCTATTCAGAGGATCTAAATAATTGTTGGCATGTGTTTGATTAAGTCCAGTACATCTGCTGGGCATAATGTGCTTCTACCTTATGCTAGTGATCAGGCTAATAATGAGTGGCTATCACATGGCCCAGAGCTAGCATGTTCATGGTTGTTAAGAGTATTGTAGGCAAACGATAATGGCGCCGATTGACGTAACATGGCCGTTTCAAAGGTAAGATCAAATAAAAATCATACATGTCTACAACTTATAGCTAGAAATAATTACACATAAAGCTCCTACCAAAGTTCAGAACGATTAATATTCACCTAGACTCTGCATGCCGTTTTCTGAAGAGGAATTTCCTTTTCGGTTCCTTAGCATTCATCATATACTTGAAAGAGAACATATCGACATGACATTCAGCTAAAAAGAAAATCTAAATCACCGGCCGGTAAAGATCGGTGAAATCACAAATAATGATATGGGCATAGTCAAAACTGCTTTCGTCAACTGATCATTTGTATGTACATTTAGTAGTGTACCCAGTACACAAGCTAAAAAGGATCTATATGACTGGTGAATCCTTTAAAAGGCAGATGCCAATCGCAATATGCTAGAGAAACAAGGCCTGAGAGTGTCTACGAGCTGAGAATGTTCAGGAGTGAAACCCTGCTTTGGATCAATCTCCTGAACAGAAGCTCCGCACCGTTCTCAAGATCTCCCATGTTTCGCTCTAGCGCTTGCAACTGTACCTCCTCGCAAACGACCTTTTTCTTCTGGACAAGAGACCACTTGCTTCCTTTGGTGGTGGCGAACTGCTTTGGCAACAGCTGCGACGTGGACTCGAGTAGAGAGACAGACATCTCTCTACCTTCCGCCAGTAGCCTGACCAGCCTGCAATCTTCACCACTAGCTTTGCTGCTTGCGATCTTCTTGAAAGGCTTCTGCGCCTGCTTGGCAAGGCGAATGAAAGACTCAACCTTGAGTTGAACAGATGCATCATCTCCTCTTTTGAGAACCAGTTGCAGCTCCTGGGTACTCATCTTCAGCTCTGCTAAATTCTCTTGCATGGAATTGCAGAGATCAATCAGCACGAGGGATCTCTCCAATTCCTCTTCTACCATTTTCTTGTTTTGGGGGAAGGAGAGGCTAATTTGGTTGCTGGGCAAGCCCATGATCTCCTCTATGCACTTGTAGATGTCTCCAAGCCTTGCGTAACCACCACACATTGTGTCGATGGTTGCGGAGGGTGAAGAGATGCATGACCTCAGGCCCTGCAGATCCACCTCCACTTTGGATTCACTGGAGTAAGGCAAACTTGCGGATCTTTGATGGCAAGCCATGTTTCTAATGGATGAACCGATGATGTGTTTATGTTTGTAATGGAAGAGAAAGTGAAGAGCAGATGGCTTTGTTGGTGCTCAACCATTGTGATGCACTCTATTTATAGTCAAGAAACCATCTGCTCATTAGGCATTAAGAATATTATGCATGACGCTCCATTTGCGACCAATAGTGGATCAATTTTCTGGACCAGCATAACCATCTCTATCTATATAATCTTGTTAAGGAGACAAGCATCACTAAGTGCATGCCCTGTCTCGACGATTGGAGGCAAAGCATCAGCACAAGTGCTTGGCTTAACAGAGAATCCAGATCAGCAAACCGAGGCAAAATAAACTAGAATGCAGGTCATGCAACTGTGCTGTATGTTGAAGGACCAGATGACTTCACCTTCCAACAGCGTGTCAATTTGGTTCCCAGTTCATGACAGATGCTCCTTCGCCCCAATTGCTGTGAAGCACCGTTGCAGCGTTGCTGCGCTGGTATGTCCACCACACATGCATTATAATCATCAATAGATGCTTCACTTATTCTCATGCAACATTTACTCGTTTAGAACATAAGCGAAAACTAACCCGTAAACGTGACTGAAACGGGTTCTAACTTGCACAAGTCTAGATATTCTGCTCTGTAAGAAATATGTTGTGTCATCCTTCAGTAGCAGAAGTAGAGGTGCCCAATTTGGCCAATTGTATGGGAGATTTGAGAATAAGGCAGAAGGGATTGATACACAGACATAAAGATCTCTGCAGATCCCATATACTCATATGGCCACCACAGCCTCAGCCAAGTTGTTACCTTTGTCTATCTTGGTTTAAAACAGCATGTGTAGTGTCAAAACGCTCTTATATTATGGGAAGGAGGGAGTACTAAACGGTGCAGCCTTGACATATTCCAAACATAGGCAAACTGTGGTCTGCATGACTACTTGACACTACAGGAAGACAAGTTGCTATTTGGTATTGCCAATCTGTCATGTTTCAATTATGTCCGGCAAAATGGACTGCACGGGTACCCAGAGTTGTTTTCTGCTATAAGGTGATGGGCAAGAATCGCTCATGAGGGGAAAATTTGAGACACAGAACCTCCAAAAACGTGTTCAATGCTAATATGGGACAGTCAGCTTCAAGATAAGCATGAACTCAACGCCTCATGGAGTACGACTGGCAAGTTTCATCCACCTAAAGTAAGATCCAATTATTGTTTCAAGAGTACTTCATAATATAGATAAGGAGATAAATGCATCTAATATAGATAAGGAGAAATGGATAAAAATGGATGTATCTAGAACTAAAATACATCTAGGTACATCCGTTTTTTCGACAAGTATTTCCGGACGGACCGACGGAGGGAGTATCATTTTTCAGCTGGTCGAGAGAAAAAACAGAATGCACAGCTGATAATCTAGGTGCGGTAATAGAGAAAGTTAACTCTTTTTTCTGTCTCGGACAGAAAGTGACAATGCGCCCTAATTTCAGTGAGAAGAGAATATAGAACAACTTCGATTGGATAAATTACCGGTCTATCTCGCTTAATACTGCAGGTTGCTGTTTTAATAACCTACTAACAGCCCAGATGATAAGAAACAACTGTTAGAATGTGTAGTCTTCACGGGTACTGGATGAGGAGATAAATTCATATATCTAAATACGTTGCAGTTGATCCCAAGAAAAAAAATTATATGCACAGGGGTTCATGTTTGATTTGGCCATAGCACCAGAGAGGAAGATTCATGAAAGATAGGATACATCATATTACATCTCATATGGCTAGGACAGTCTCTATAAATTGTTAAGAGAGAGGAAAGAGTTGACTTTACCTACAGAAACATGCCCAGTCCAGGTAACATCTAGATAA